GCCTGCGGACGGCGAGCATGGGTGGCTCCCCGTCCTACCAGAAACAGACCCGAGCGTACGGCGCGTCGCGTTCCGCGCCCGCCTCAAAGAGCCATCAGGCCACCACAGATGGGGCCCAATAGGGCCGATGCCGATTCGGAGTCGCGCAGAACCTAACGGGTAACCGGGGCTCCGGCTCGACGTGCAGGAGAAGGAACGGGGTGGTTTTTAGTCAGTAAGAGTCTGACACTCCCTCCCGCCTCACCCAGGCGGGAGCAGCCATTCGATGACTTTCCCCCCTTAAAAAAAATAAAAAAAGCAATAGGAAATAATTTCCTACATGACTTTTATGTAACTGCTAGCAGGTATAATTGACGTGTGGTGGAGTAAGTAGGTAAGTACTTATTTACTATACTAACATTTGTTTATTTCTTCCAGATATCTACGGTTGTTGTTTACTGAGTAGGTACAGACATAGATTTTACTTATGCCCAGTTACTTCGAAGTCTAAATGGATGTGCCTTTTATCCCCGACGGGTGCAGAGGTGCACATTATGGCTTATGAAGTTATGACACTTAATGCCACTATACAATATAACACCCTCCTTTCACCATTTATGTTATGAGTCCCATGTAATAAGTGGTGAGCCTATTGCCATATACCGCGCACAATTCCAGACTCCGTGCAGTCACTGTTTAGTGAGTATCTAGGTACTATGCCAACATTTATTAGGAAGTGCATTACATACGTAAAATAAAAAGAAAATTCACAAGTGGGTATCTAATGAATATTTTTTTATTATTGTGCACCTTTAGAAAATAGAGGTTCTAATTTGATGAACATGGGAGTACCTATCGCTAGGTGTAAATACCTCAGTAGGTAGAAGTACTAAATATATAGGTACTGACCTATCTTATCTATAACCTGCCCATAATTGTTTTCTACCACGTTTATTTCCACTTATAGTTTTTCAGAAATTTCCATGAACTGTTTTCCATGTATAACATCACACATCTTTTCCCCAAATTTATTTTTATATGTATATGGTCCTCATATGGTCGCATATGGTCATCTTTCTTTTATATGCTTAGGTACTAGCTAGGTACATTCTATCGTTTTCAATCTGCCCTAGACTACAAATAACAAAACAGATAATACAGGATTCAGGCACGTATTTTTAATATGACGCCTTT